TTTAAAAAATGTAAAATTACAACTAATTAGTATTTGGGGTGAACGTAATTAGTCTTTTAATATGTCATAAATTGATATTTGTTGTAAATATTCCTGACAGGATTGTTACACTGAATGACATTTTAGTGGGTCTCTTCTGTAAATCAGGGGAAAATGTATGATATTTATTTTTTGCTCAGTAAAAAAAAATTGCAATTAAATTAAAAAGAAAACTTTTTCATTTTTGGGGGGGGAAAAACAACAACAATTTAAAGCAGTATTACACTTATTGTTTTTATGCTTAAACCCTTTTTTTGTCTTTGACCCATGCATATATATTTATATGTTTATTTACTTAATGATTTCAGGCTCCTATGAAAATAACATTGGACACTTTAAAAAAAAATTTAAATTAAGACAATCAATACCGGACTAATAACCCTTTCATTGCCATAAAAGTGAAATTACTGAACCTCATTTCAAAGAAAAAATCTTACTTAGAGGCTTATAGGTGTGTGCATATACAGTATATATACAGTATATATATATATAAATGATTTTTTTTTTGTTTGTTTGTTTGTTTGTTTTTTTGTGTGTGTGTGTGTGTGTTTTACACCAAGCATATACAATATACAATATAAAACATTGTTAATCCAGTAAAGGTTGCATTACATTCAATTGATTTCAAATCCTCTGAAGCATGAAACTATTGGATAGTTCTGCAGTTCACATTTTTCTTCATTTTTTAAATGCATTTATATGTGTCTGTTCAACGTTAAAGTACTTAGTGACTTTACTGTATTTTGTCTCAGATACAGTCTGTTTAGTATTTTGGTCTTAGATTGTGTCTCTTGTGTTCATAACATGTAAACCAAAGAAATCAAGCTTCAGGTGTCAGATCTCTCCTCACTTCTGTTTCAGACCTTAAGAATAAATGGCATTTGGTGGTGGACCGGCTCACGGTCCTTTTCCTCAAGTTCCTGGAGTACTTCCATAAGCTGAAGCTCTTCATCTGGTGGCTGCTGGAGATGCACATCATCAAGATCGTGTCCACTTACATCATCCTGCTGTCTGTGAAAGAGGTAGAAGCTCACACTTGAGGTTATGGGTACAGTAATCTGAAGGTGTTTCTGTTTCTCACGTGTGTCTCTTGCAGGTCTCGCTCCTGAACTATGTGTTTTTGATCTCATGGGCGTTTGCGCTGCCGTATAAGCAGTTTCGAGTTCTCGCTTCTAGCGTTTGCACCATGTGGACGTGTGTCATCATCATCTGCAAGTTGTTTTATCAGCTAGAGACCATCGAACCCAGCAACTACTCAAGTATTTGTACTATGGTGGGTTTCTTTACTCGTCAAATGAGTTTGTCGTTATTCAGATGGGATTCGTTTACATTTAATGAAAAACGCTTGTCATTTCAAGCCCATCAGATTTCTTGAAATTTCTTGAAATAGCAGATTTGCTGGTTCTTGTGTTTAATCATGTGATTGTGGTCTCTGTAGCCATCCAACTACACAGAAGAGCAAATTATGGACATGAATCATTCTCTACTGTACCGGAAGCCCGTGGATCCTGCAAACTGGGTCGGCCTGGAGAAGTTTGAAGAACCTGTACTGCCCAACCTGAGGGTGAGGAGACATGATCGATATTTTCTGGGAAATATGAGTTTTTTTAATAATGTATGGCACCAAACTAGCATCTACTGAGTGCCAACTTCATGTTTTATGCTAAATGTGCAACCTATTATTATTATGCCTACAAGTATACCTATTATTACCTATTATGCCCTATTATAATTTTTAATACAGTCTAAGATTATATAAATTTAAAGCTGCATTCCGTAACTTTTTTTTTTGGTTAAAAATTATACAAAATCAGTTATTGAGCAAGTACATAACCGATCAGTGTTCAAATCTCCTTACCTTAGCCCGATTCACAACGGTAAGCTTGTAATAATGTTTTCCAATTTGAGTGGTTCGAGTCATTCGTCTTTGCATCATTAATCACCACTGGTAGCACAATTTATTGTAAATTTTTTTCAGTTGATCTGAACAAAACTGCCAGACATGTTACTTGTTCAGATGACATTTTTCGGTGAAACTTCTTATTTTGGACATACTTCCAAGACATACTGTAGTATCTGTAATTCTGAAGTACAGTGAATATCCACACTGGTTTGTTGACTGACAGCCCACACATGTCTCAAACAGAGATGGCGACAAAGAGGCAAAATGACAGACTGCAGCTTTAATGTTTATTGCTAGAAAATCACACAAATCAGGGATTTAGTTGTAGTTAATCATCCCATATTTTAGTAACAAGTTGGTACAATTGGCAAATACAGTAAATATAAAACAAATCCAAAAGCACATGTATTATTTAATGTATCCTCTTGAGGTGGACAGTCTTTCTTTTCTGAATGAAGCATTTCATTGATGAAGTGATTGACTTTCTGATGTACAGAGCTCATTTACATTCATCTTCTCGCTCTTCTCTTTCTTTCTCAGAATAACTTGTTGATGTTGGCCATCTTGGCGTTTGAAGTCACCATTTACAGACATCAGGAGTTTTTCCGTCTGAGAAACAAACTCTCTCCCCCTCCCTCTCGGACCATCTTTCATGAGATCACCCGGCAACACCTTGACAACAGCATCATCAACTGCGCCAAATACTTCATCAACTACTTCTTCTACAAGTTTGGTTTAGAGGTGCATTTCATTTCTATCTATCTATCTATCTATCGGGGAAGTCGTGGCCTAATGGTTAGAGAGTCGGACTCGTAACCCAAAGGTTGCGTTAGGGTTAGGTTAGGGTTAGGGTTGAATGTACAGCGCTCTCTCCCACCTTCAATACCATGACTGAGGTGCCCTTGAGCAGGGCACCGAACCCCCAAATGCTCCCCGGGCAGCAAAAAAATGGCTGCCCACTGCTCCGGGTGTGTGTTCACGGTGTGTGTGTGTGTTCACTGCTGTGTGTGTGCACTTTGGATGGGATAAATGCAGAGCACTAATTCCAAGTATGGGTCACCGTACTTGGCCACATGTCACGTCACTTTCACTTTCACTATCTATCTATCTATCTATCTATCTATCTATCGATCGTTCGTTCGTTCGTTCGTTTGTTCGTTCTATCATTCTATCAATCTCTTTATTGTTCAATTGTTCTATCTTGTTCCTGTGTGGCGTCAGGTGTGTTTCCTGTTGGCGATCAATGTGATGGGTCAGCGGATGGATTTCTACTCCATGCTGCACGGTTTGGCTCTGGCTGTGGTGATGTACAGACGCCGGAGGAAAGCCATCGCTGAGATCTGGCCCAAATACTGCTGCTTCCTGGCCTGCATGATCACCTTCCAGTATTTCATCTGCATTGGAATCCCACCGGCTGCTTGTAAAGGTGTGTTACTTTATGCCTTTTCACATGTCTTACTTATTAATCACAGATTCCCATTTTCTCAGTGATATTGATGCTGAAACTTGAGTAAAAAGTACTCAAAAATGTTGAAAGTGTCATGTGGACACACACCCGGAGCAGTGGCCAGCCATTTGTGCTGCAGAGCTTGGGTAGCAATTGCTCAAAGGCACCTCAGTCGTGGGAATTGAAGGTGGATTGAAGGTGTTCATTCACTCATCCCCCACCGATATTTCCTGCCGGTACTGAGAATCGAACTTGCGACCTTCTATTAGGCCACAGCTAGCAGCTGAAATGGGTACTGCAGTCCAAATTCAAAATATTGGAGAAAGTCTTTTCTCCTGCTCCCTCCTCCTCAGACCTGACGCTCACTCGGGTTGCCAGAACATGCAACAGGAACGAAGCACGAGTGACAACAGAAGATGATGAGTCTTGCACTGTAAGCTGATAATGTTAATTTATCCGCCTCTTAATATGCCTCTGGACATAGAGCTTTTTATTTGGATGCTGAGGCTTTTTGGGTCGGGTAGAGTTAGCAATCTCTGACCCAGTTCATTTGCTGGCTTCCATGGCTGTGTTTTCCGCCAACTGGCAACCCGGGGTTTCAAAATACTATTGGGTAAAATGGCAGTGGGCAGAATTTTTGGAGAAACATATGTGAACGTAGCATGTTTCCTTAATATCTGCCAATATATTATGGTATTTTATGCTTTAGTACAGTCAGAAAACATACAGCACCTTTATGGTAGGTTGAAGACAAGTGATATACAATTAAAACATACAATATTGACTTCTAAAGCCACTTTTTGTCATATTGACTTCTACAGAAACACATCTTATAACCTCAGAGTTCATAAAAAGTCTTAAAGGGTTTATACATGCTATTTTTTATGGATTTTTTGGTTTAAATTATATGCTTGCTTACAGAACCATATTGTTGATCAGCTAGACTAAATAAAATTGTAAAAGTAAAAAGTATAGTTTTTTCTATATGAGCATGCAAATACATGTACAAGACTTGGATATGTGTGACATCATTGTGCAGTGACAGATCATGTGAAGCACATCTGACTTTGAAAAATAGTACTTGAACATTCTGATTGAAACGTCTGTGGAGCGACTGAAATGCAAGAATATTTACTTCTGGGATATCATAACATCTGTATGTTTGTATGAGTTTTGCATTTTTCCAGTGATCTAGAATGTTTATTTCTCTAAGCTTGTCTTTCTAGATTATCCCTGGAGGTTTTCTGAATCCATGATGGATTCTGACATCATTAAATGGCTTTTCCTTCCTGATTTCCACACTCAGCCCAACTCCTTGTTCCTCGTCTGTGAGTTCTTCCTCAGAAATATTCAGCATTGCTTATATGTGTTGCCATTTAACATTAGAGGTTGTTCTGCTCAGCAGGAGATGTGAACATGAAACGGCGGTCAAACTTAATCAGTCCTCTTAGACTTGCAGGGTCAGACTTTTGACGGTCTGGTCCATTTCGGTCCAGGTGTTTCTGACCCACATGCAAACTGACCGACCACATTTCTATTTTTTAACGTGACGTTTAGAGAGCGGGTAAATATGAAATCCATGATACCACAATAACAGACCGCAGGGAATCACAGTGTCAGTCTCTGACATACAAGATACGAATGTACATATGTCTGTCTAAAAGTATTAAATTAAGTCGTTTTTTGATAGTTTATTAAATAATTACAATATTTTATTTATTATGGTTTAAATTTTTTTATTTTTGTTCTATTTTATTTTTGAACCATAATACAGAAAATTATTTGAACTGCCACAATCAATACATTATCTTAGGAGTTATTTTATTTTATGTCATGTCATGTCTAAAAGTAATAAATAATGTCTTTTTCAGTTAGTTTATTAAAGGCGTCACATGATGCGATTTCAAGTTTTCCTTTCTCTTTGGAGTGTTACAAGCTCTTGGTGCATAAAGAAGATCTGGTTCTGACTCACAGACTGTAAGTACGTTTTTTATATTTAAAGGATTTGCCACTGATGATTCAAACGCGAGTTTTGAGCAGTGTAGAGTAGCGCTTGTAGTTTGTCATTTCTCCGATCACAAATGCAGACATGGTTTTTATGTTACGCTCCGGCCTGACAAGGCATCACAGTATGGTAAGAGGCGTAATATTTCCGTCACACGCTTGAGGTATTCGGCCAATCACAACGCACTGGATAGCTGGCCAATCAGAGCACACCTCGCTTTTCAGACCGATGAGCTTTGTAAAAATCGACGCGTTTCAGAAAGGCGGGGCATAGAGGAGAAACAATAATGTACAGTATGTGGAAAATAATGTGTTTTTTGAACTTTAAACCGCATAAACACATTTCATTACACCAAATACACAAAATAATGTTCTTTTTAGCAACATCATATGACCCCTTTAAATGATCACAATATTTTGTTGTGTTTTACATTGTTTTATTTTAGTTCTATTTTATTTTAGCCATAATGCAGAAAACACCTTGCACTGTAGAAGTCAACACAGGATATTGGATATAGGATATAAGAGTTATTAATTAAATTTAAAGCATTTTATTTTATTTTTTATAGTCTTTTTATGAATTGTGTGATGCCATCCAATCATTTATTTGTGCTCTGTATTTATCAGACGGTGAGTGACTGCCATCAGCGGTCAGTGGACATGCAAAAATACCATCAGCCCCTTTGTCCTCTATGTTGTCACTTAAATTGGTTTCCTCTCTCCTCTGCTCCTCTGTTTGTCTGATGTAGATGATTTCATGCTGCTGCTGTGTGCGTCGCTGCAGAGGCAGGTGTTTGAAGATGAAAACAAAGCGGCCGTTCGTCTGATGGCGGGAGATAACGTAGAGATCTGCCGAGACCTGGACGCGGCGTCGTTCAGCGTTCACAACCCCGTACCGGACTTCATTCACTGCAGGTACACACAACACATGCTTAACTTACAGCTTCATGCTTGAACACTGATATGTCATCAGAGAACTGTGGATTTTTAGCAGGTTAAAACTTGTGGAAAAACTACAATTGATTAATAATGTTTCAGTGGAGCAGTGGGGAATCTTGAAGCGAGTCTCAATTCAAAGCCAGTTAGATTAAAATAGATTAGATTATAAAAGTTGTATAATATAATAATTCATTAACAGCAACAACAACAATAATAATAATTATTTTTATTAAATTTTTAGGTGTTTTAGGCTAGCTTTTGTTTACCGAATAATCAGATGCAACTTTGCAAATTTCCTCTTTCAGACAGAAAAAAGAATAAAGGACAAATAAATCAAGAACATATGTACAGTAAGTACAGTATGTAAATAAGTAAATAACAATTTTTTCAGATATTGTTTTAATTGGAATAATCAAATGCAACTTAACTAATTAAAAAATTCTCCTTCAGACAGAATTTAAAATAAATAAAGGATAAATAAATCAAGTAAGTAAATAAATACATTTCAGATATTTCAATTAGACTGATCAAATGCAACTTGGATAAATAAATCAAGTTAAATAAATAAAGTAAATACATACTTTCCAATGTTGTTTTATTTGAAATAATCAAATGCAACATAGAAAATTAACTTTAAATAAACAAGTAAATATGTAAATATGTCTTATGAAACATTGTCACATCAGCAAACTCTGTCATCTCAGATCAGCAGTCTCTTTGAAAAAGCCCTTCTTCTGGTTGCTTTGTCGCTGCCTGCTGCCGTCAGTGTGAACGTCTCTGTATTTTCTGATGACTGAGGTTGAAGAGCAGTTTATTCAGGTCTTTGAATGTCAGTCACTCTACTGTACGTGATCCTCTTTCTCCCTCTCTTTCCAAGAATTTCCACGGATCATATTGCAGAAAGAAGGGAAAAATCCATAAGGCACCATCACACGCTCTCTTTCTCTCTCTGTCTGAGCTCTAACCCAATAAGTAGCTTTTAAGTACGGACTGATCTTTTTTCAACAAGGTGATTGATTTTAGGGTAGGAAGCTGCTGCTTGTTGTGGTACATCAATGCAGGTCCATATCACAACATCTCAGCTTTTCATCAGAGCTCTTAGCACAGGCCTGTGGCTAAACACAGCGTCCAGCCGTGAAGCCAGGAGGATGTACTTTAACCTTTGGAGTGGCGGGTGTAAAGTGCATTTCAAAGCATGTGCGAGCTTTTAGCGTGCAAGAAAATGAGCAGCGCATCCATATACATGTAAAGGAATCGCTCCGGGTATCAATCCGGTCATTATAATTATGCCTGTCAGGATGTCTGATACTATATAGGAAATGAAGCAGAACATTTAAATAAATGATGGCTGCATTCCCATTTGCATACTTCTGTTGTGCACTTAAAAATCAAGTGTGTCATTTTTTCACTGTTAAAATGTTTTCTTCTCTGCTAGTTTTATTTAACTAATTAACTTATTACAATATTTTATTAATGATGTTTTATATTCAATCATAATGCCGATAAATACTTAAACATTATACATTATTTTATATTTATATTTTTTATGTTTATATTTATATTTATTTAAAGGTGTCATATGACGTTGCTAAAAAAGAACGTGTATTTGTGTGTAATGAAACGTGTTTATGCGGTTTAGACCCTTTTGGGGTAGGGGTGTGTTTGTTTTGGTGATTTCAAATATCAACATTGTTTACCAGAAATCACTTACTCTGCCTTTAACCACTGATTTCTAGTTGTGTCCTCTTTTGGAAGACCAAACAAAGTAGTTTCGCTTTCATAACGAAACACAAAGCGACTCTAGACATGGCGGCGGCGGCAACAATACTACAGCGAGAATCAAAGTTACGCCTTCTTTCTTTGCGTGAACATTTGGGCGGTGTTATGCAAATCTTCCCACATAGTGATGTAAACATGTGGGGGCGTGTTTAAACGTGGCGCTTTAGGAGGGCGTGGACGAATCGTAACTTTTATAAAAAAAATATAACCCTCTTTGGGTTTGAGACTTTAGTCTTTGCAACTTTAGGGATCTTATCTATTCACAAACAGCTTGTAACACTCCAAAGAGAAAGGAAATCTTGAAATAGCATCATATGACCCCTTTAAAGTCTTTATTTTATGTGCTCTACATTTGCCGTATAATCATCATATAATATAATGTTTTAGTAACTGTTAAAATACTTTCTCCTCTGCTAGCTTTTTAATTAAGTAAAAATAGTTTATTCTGAATAACCGGCTATCAGCATCAGCTGAGAAATGTAGTGTCAGTGCATCCCGTTTGGAGAGATAATTAGACAGATGTCAGTTAAAGGTTGCTCTCATGTTAATGTTATTTCCTTCTCTCAGGTCGTACCTGGACATGCTGAAGGTGATCATGTTTAGCTACCTGTTCTGGTTCGTCCTGACCATCATCTTCATCACGGGCACAACTCGGATCAGCATCTTCTGCATGGGTTACCTGGTGGCGTGTTTTTACTTCCTGCTCTTCGGTGGCGATCTCTTGCTCAAGCCAATCAAAAAGATCCTCCGTTACTGGGATTTCCTCATAGCTTACAATGTTTTCGTCATCACAATGAAGAACGTGTTTGCTGTGAGTGTCCAATACCTTAAAGAAATGCATATATTTACAGTTTTCAGTTATTTATTTATTTATTTATTTATTTATTGTGTAGATAAATAAGAACATCCAAAGTCAGCATATTTTATTCTTTTTTAAAAAATTTTTTTTTACAGTATATACACTACATTTAGCATCTAATTATCATATGAAGTTTTAATATCGGTGAATAAAAAAAAATGACATCAGTGAAACATTTTTATTACATATTATATATTATTTTCTTTTGTTTAAACATGAATCATGCTTTAAAGTTGACTGCGCTACATTTTGAAAGCAATAAGCATATTTGGAGGCAAATTTAAATATTTAAATATTAATCACGTCAGCTACCAAAAATCATGACTAATCATGATTTATTATTTTACATACTCAACAGGCACAGTAGAATTTAATTATCATATGAAGTAGTGTTTTATTAAAGTTGAATAAAATAAAAACATGACTTCAATGAAGAATCTTTGTTACATATTATTTAGTATTTAATAAACAAAATTACATCAATGAAATGTCTTTATTTTATTTTGTTAAAATGGGAATCAAATTCTTTAAAAATTTGAAAGCAAGAAACATATTTGGAGGCAAATTGCAGTGAATTAAATATTTAGGATTTATTGTGTTAACTATTAAAACTATTAAGATTAATCATGATTAATTATTTTAATCTCTTGAAGGGGCTAATAAATGCATAAGCAGAGAAAATGAGTGAAGCAATAAATTAAAAGATGAGTAAATAACATGCATTTTTTTTTCTTCATTTTTTCACAGATTTTGGCGTGTGGTTATATCAAGCATTTGGTAAAGAATAGCTGCTGGTTGGTTCAGCTGCTCAGTCTTTCCTGCACCATAAAAGAATACAAAGCTCTAGAAGGTAAGGAAGGGTTGCATTTCGCCAACATTCTGGTTTCTAATCTTTGTTATGTTATATACACATATTGTGAGCTGAAAAAAAGTAGGCAGCCTATTTGTGTGCTTTCAAAGACACCAAGAGCATCTGTCTTTCACAAAAAAAGGTGCTGCATTGCGATGAACCGAAGTGCTGTCCACAAACGATTTATTACAAATATATTTCAATATAAAAATATCTGATGGCTTTAAATGTTTTTCGTGTGTCTTCAGGCGTGTCCGTAAAAGGATGTGAAGTGCCGAAGGACGAGGCCGGAATCATCTGGGACAGCATCTGCTTCACGTTCCTCCTGCTGCAGAGACGCGTTTTCATGAGCTACTACTTCCTGCATGTGATCGCAGACATCCGCGCCGGACAGATTCTCGCATCTCGGTACCACATGTTTACATACATTTACACAGATTGGTTTTCATGTTTACTTTTAAAGGGGTCATCCGATGCTACATGCACTTTTACAAGTTGTTTGAACTGAAATGTGTGTTGGCAGTGTATGTACACAACCACACTATTCCTCTATGCCCCGCCTTTCTGAAACACGTAGATTTTTACAAAGCTCATCGGTCTGAAAAGCGAGGTGTGCTCTGATTGGCCAGCTATCCAGTGCGTTGTGATTGGCCGAATACCTCAAGCGTGTGACGGAAATGTTACGCTTCTACCATATTGTGATGCCCTGTCCGGTCTAGCAGAGCTCATTAACATTTAAAGGAAAATGCTACAAAACGGCTTGCTCTGAAAAGAGCTGTTTTTGACAGGGTAAAAAAGGTGTTTTTTACACTACCATTGAGAAATTTTAACCAAACTATGTTACAGACTTTTCATTAAGACCCTAAAGAATCATATCAACTTGTGATAAATGGGCATCCGATGACCCCTTTAAGTTTTTGTTTGAGGGATAATTTTATATGTGCAGTTTGAAGAACATTTCTATGGAAACTTATTTCTGCCGTGTCTTTTTATCTCACAATTCAGACTTTTTTCCTTATAATTCTGAGAAAAAATGTCAGAATTGGGAGATTAAAACCTTGCAATTGTGAGGAAAAAGGTTGGAATTGCCAGATGTTCTCCCAGAATTCTGATAAATAAAGTCATAATTGTGGAATGTAAATTCAGAATTACAAGATATAAACTCGCAATTGTGAGAAAAAGACATCAGAATTGTGAGATATAAACTGTTCTAAGAGAAGTATGAATTGTGAGATGTAAACAATTCTTAGAAAAATGTATGAAATGCGAGATGTAAACTCAGAATTCTTTGGTAAAAAAGTCAGAATTGCGAGAAAAAAAAGACAAAATTGCGAGATGTAAACTCAAAATTCGTAGAGAATAAAAAGGTAGAAATTATGAGATGTAACCTCAGAATTCTAAAGGAAAAAAGTCAGAAATTGGAAGTAAAAAAAATGCAACTTGCAAAAAACTTTTTAATATTTTTATTCCACAGTCCATACTTAAAAATCAAGTGTTCTTATATTTGAAATGTAAGGAAGCTTTTTTCTGCTAAGAACATAAATGTGTCATTTATAGAGTGTAGTAGAGTGAGTCTAAGGGTGCTTTCACACTAGCACTTTTGGTGCGCACCCGGGTTCGATTGACATCAGAGTTCGGTAGGTTTGGATGATGTGAACGCGGTCTTCCGAACTCGGGTGCGCACCCGCGAACCGTACCCGAGTCCGCTTAAAAAGGGTGGTCTGGGGTACGGTTCATGTGAACTCCGGTACGATTCGCTGCTGATGTGAACGCAATCGTACCAAAACACGGAAGTGAACCGCTATTAATGACGTATTATTTGATAAAAATGTGTGTTTGTGTGTGTTTCGCTCACTTTCTTGACGAGCTTGACTGACGTGGGGGAGGGGGGAGCAATCGAACTCGGGTTCGGACCAAGCAATCGAACCAAGTGTGAAAGCACCCTAAATGTCAGTCCAGTCCAGTATAGTTGAGTATTGTCTGTCTGTCTGTCAGAGGAGCAGAGCTGTTTCAGGCCAGCATTGTGAAGGCTGTGAGAGCTCGTCTGGAGGAGGAGAAGAGATCCATGGAGCAGCTGAAGAGACAGTGAGAAACATCCTTTCATTCATGTGCCGTGATCTTTGTGTTTGTCTTTAGTGTTTCTTGATTTCATGAGTTATGTGAAATAGTGTAGTGTAGTTTTTTTTTACTAACACTTTTTTACTCTTATAAAACCAAAGCAGCTCACATTGATTCTTATATTATATTATTATATGGTATAAATCTCTCTCTCTTTTCTACGACAGTGTTTCTAGAGGACTTTAATAAAGCAGAGTGATTCTCTACTGTACGTCTCCGTTCACCTGCTCATACACTCTTAAAAATGCTGGGTTGTTTCAACCCAACTTTGGGTCAAATATGGACAAACCCAACTTTTGGGTTAAAAATTTAATTTAAAATTTTAACCCAACAGCTGGGTTAGTCCATATTTGACCCAAAGTTGGGTTGAAACAACCCAGCATTTTTAAGAGTGTATGAGCAGGTGAACGGAGACGTACAGTAGAGAATCACTCTGCTTTATTAAAGTCCTCTAGAAACACTGTCGTAGAAAAGAGAGAGAGATTTATACCATATAATAATATAATATAAGAATCAATGTGAGCTGCTTTGGTTTTATAAGAGTAATTCATCCATAAATGAAAATGCTGTTTGTTTGTTTTTTTTTCTTCAATGGAATGTTTTAAGGAGTTATTTAGCAGAATGTTCACGGTGCTCTTTTTTGTGCAATGAAAGTCAATGTTTTATGTTTTTTTTTTTTACAAAATTAATACTTTTATTCAGAAAGGATGCATTAAATTGATCAAAAGTGACAGCAAAGACATTTATAATGTTACAAATGATTTCTATTTCAAATAAATGCTGCTACTTTGAACTTTCTATTCATCAAAGAATCCTGAAAAAAAAAAAAAAAAAGTATCATGGTTTCCGCAAAAATATGAAGCAGCACGACTATTTTCAACATTCTGAAAATTCAGCTTTGACATGACAGGAATAAATTATATTTTAAATTATATTCAAATAGAAAACAGTTCTTTTAAATTGTAATAATATTCCACAATTTTATACCGTTTTTACTATATTTTTATTCAAATAAATGAAGCCTCAGTAAGCAAGAGAGACTTCTTTCACAAACTTTAAAAACATCTTACCGACCCTGATCATTTGAACAGCGGAATAAACAGAATAATACGCAGATTACAAGGCAAAATAATTCTTCAGTGAGCTGGAAAACTTTGCCAAATCTACTTTCATAGTGTTCCAGGGGGAAGAATCGTTTGAGTTAAAAGAAGGTCAGTAAATGTTCATTTTTGGGTGAAATAACTTTATAAACGAGATGTTTATGATCCCTCTCTTTATCTCCTTATCAGAAAAGAAAGTGCTCAACAGAAAAGCATCAAAAAGCAAAAGAAATACCGTCAAACTCTACGGTGTGAAATGAGTGAGATGGTATTTACTTTGTCTTCTTTGATGAGCTGATCTCAGTTATCAGCGTGATACTGAAGCACATGAGATCTGACTTCACTGTAAACCTTCTTTAAACATCAATATCTGTTTTATATAGTGATTAGAACACTGACTATTAAGGAAAACCTGCCATGCACAAACATACTGTGGTGTTACCATGGTACAGTGATTGTATCAGACGGTAATACCATGGTACATGATTGAATATGGTTGCCATATTCATTTACTATGGTATTTACATGTACTGCAAAGAATACCATAGTATTATTATCATGATCCTGTCCAAAAAGCCATGGTATTACTGTGGTACCATGTCTGAAAACCATGGTATCACCATTGTAGGTTTTTTTTTTTAATGAGAGACACTAATCACTATAGAAAATGTGATCTTTTTTGGAGATTTTTAGGGCCGTAATTTGGTTTTGTAAATCTCAGGCTCTCAAATAAGTGCTGAAATGTTTTCCCAGCATCCTCCCTGTCCTCCCCCTCCATTGCAGCTCTTCTGTTCAAGGACACAAGGCAGTTTCCTTCTCCAAATCCTGTTTTGCCATGCGATTGTGAAACTGCAGACACAAAGGTGTTTCTGAGCTGTCAGATAACAAACTAACCCAACTAGAGATACAAAATGAGTGTAGTTTTATTTTCATTTTGTTGTTTTCGTTTTTTGATAATTGCTGTTTTATTGAAATACTGTGGTATAAAAAAAGCATAAAATGGGAAATGCACGATTTAATCTTCTACAGTTTTATTGTTTGTTTGTTGTGGTACTGCTTTAGAAATCTGTTATGCCTTATGAACTTAGTTTAACTGTATGTTTTTTTTTTTTTGATTTAGAGATTCAGGTAAGTTTGGTCACAAGATTCATTGGGATTTTCTCAGGTGCTGTGTAGGGATGTGCAAAAACTTTCAAAATGTTTTCAGCCTTCATTTTAGTTATATATGTGACCCTGGACCACAAAACCAGTCTTAAGTGTCAATATTTCGAAATTGAGATTTATACATCATCTGAAAGTTGAATAAATAAGCTTTCCATTGCTGTATGGTTTGTTAGGATCGGACAATATTTGGCCGAGATACAACTATTTGAAAATCTGGAATCTGAGGGTGCAAAAAAATCTAAATATTGAGAAAATCGCCTTTAAAGTTGTCCAAAAGATACAATTATTTGAAAATCTGGAATCTGAGGGTGCAAATATATCTAAATATTGAGAAAATCGCCTTTAGAGTTGTCCAAATGAAGTTCTTAGCAATGCATATTACTAATCAAAAATGAAGTTTTGATATATTTACGGAAGGAAATTTACAAAATATCTTCATGGAACATGATCTTTACTTAATATCCTAATGATTTTTGGCATAAAAGAAAAATCTATAATTTTGGCCCATACAATGTATTTTTGACTATTGCTACAAATATACCCCAGCGACTTAAGACTGCTTTTGTGCTCCAGGGACACATATATGAATAATCAAAAACGTGTTATTCTCTTGTTCCGATTTGATGTGCTTGTTCTTGCTCAACGCTCTCCTCCGTTCCTCTCTCAGTGGTTAGAAGTGGTGATTATTACCTGTTTGAAACTGACAGTGAAGAGGAGGAGGAAGAGGAGGAGAAGAAAGATGAAGAACAGCCCAAGAGATCAGCCTTCCAGGTGAGTGAACCGCTGCTGGTCGGATTGAACTTCTCTGGAGGCAAACTTGTTTAAACTTCTAACTTCACAAGTTTGCATATGTGTTTTCTGTTTTGTATGTTTTTGATACATCAGGCTTGTACTGTATGATATAGTGAGAATATGGATCAAAAATATGTCATTTGGTGCAGATGCTGATATTTATATGGACAAAAAGCAAAAAGTATGAAATTCTGGTGCTTGTAAATTAATGAGATCTTTATAACAGTATAACAGACTACTTACTTAAAATGATATAAATATCAGTTGTCATTCTATATCTCCCAATATGTCTTAGTAAGATGATATTTAAATGCTTTGATCAAAACTCTGTATTTTCAAAATATATAAACCAATACAATGATGACTGAGAGATGAACAAATAAACGTTCCTCAAAAGCCTGATGATCAATTTGAGACTCAAGTTTTAACATGACTTTTATGGAGAATCAAGTAAATTGTTAAGTGTTCATCTTGAAAAATCGCTAACAATATCAAAGTTATTCTTATGTTTACTTTATAAAAATCAGTAAAGATTTGACCGCAAAAGACACATGAAGCTCGAGCTGAAGGTGATCGTTTGTACAATTACACTAAAAGAGCTTTATGGCTCCAATACGTGTGAGGTTTTTTAAGCAAATATTTTACATTACTTAGAAATTTGCATATCAAATGTGATACTGTAGGTTTTATATAGAGTTAAGAAGTTTCTCCTAGAGGAAATTGTTATTGCTCAGATGTTGCCCTGACGTAGTAAAGATGAAACCGTGTTTGCACACAGCATTTTACATCAGAAAAAATAAATCAAAAAGAAAATCCAGTGGGGAAAAACTGTAGGACAGAACTTGATTGAAAAATGGACATTGTCACAGATGTTTTGCCTAAAATTAGAAGTAAAAATAAACACAAATAGAGTCAATAGTTGTCATCAGTAAGAGCATAGAGCTACAAAATGAATGAGCTCAGGTCATTTGATGAGAAAAGTTCATGTTGAGATCTCTGACTTTTGATAGCAGACGTTATATCTTCACAAATCTGAGCACATTTGAGCTACTGTTGAGATCTCTTCTGAAACTCTAGAGGAAGACACATGTGAGATTACTGGGGTCTTTTTCTCAGGAGAAACATCTGAGAAGCTGGAGACTTCAGCTGACCAAAGTCTCCTGTTGATCTCCATTTAATCTCATTGCTGTCTAGGAGGAACCGTTGAAATATTAAAGAGATTTCATTTGTGATTTTTCTTTCCTACACTGAAAAAAAAAAAAAAATGGTGTAGAAACAAGTTTCACTCAGAAATTGTTAGTAAACAAAGAAGTTGCCAGTAACATATTTAATTAAATGTGAAATTTTGAAGTAGAAAGACTTTCTTGCAAAACATACTCTAATAATCGTTATTTACAACTTTGGTCAAAAACCAATCAAATACCAACATCCATCATTTGTGCATCTTCTTCTCTTAAAATAATTCCAACATTTCACAATGTTGTTTCCCAGAGCATCTGTTGCGTTGGTTTATCCATCTGTTTTTGTTCATGTGTTCATGTATAGTGCTGTAACTGTTTGAAGGGCTTCAGGACACTGATGTTGTGACTTTCTCCTGGTTTTTCTCCTCTCAGCAAGCAATCAGAAAGTTTGCTTCGGCCCTCGTGGCTTTACCCAGATCTGTCATTAAACTGCCCAAAACTGTTCTGCAGTATTTAATCAGGGCGGCCAAGGTACCACCGCGGGGAACGTGTCATCTGTGTTTCCATCTCTTGTGTTTGTTGATGGTGTTTTATTGTAAGATTTCCATTCCATGTTGTTCCAATTGTGTAATTTGTAAAAATATGAAATGGTAAAATATAACTCCTTCAAGGATGCATGGAATGGAAATGATTTCGGAGTGTTTTTCATTGTTTCATGTGGTGTTTATTTGGGACGGTACTTTTATTTTAAGTCATTTCGTTGTGTCTTTTCTGTTTATTTACTTTAAAGGTTTTTTTATTTGCTTGTAAATGATGTGATTTGCTCCACTGCATTTGAGAAATGACCACAACAAAAAAAACATCAAACCATTTTACACTCAGCGTTCACACTGAGTGTGAATCATTCTGATATTAGTGGGGCAGAAAACATTTACTGTCTTTCCATTTTCTTGTGTAACCTGGATTCAAACAACTCAGTCCAATAACTGAATAAATACACCTCAATATACATGTATATACAACTCAAAGATTTGGAAAATTTGTATGGAAAACAGTTGTTTGTATTCAGTGTGGGTATTGTGTGGTGGATGTGCTTGTTTATCCAGTTTCAGTCAAATTCAGCCTTCTCAGGGGTTAAAATACAAATTCATGGTCTAAAACAAAAATGCAATGTATGTATGTTGTGGGCAAATTTGAATCATGAGTTAAATTTCAACTGGCTTCCTGAAATGGCTGAATGTGCAGCATGTTTATGTGTTGACGTCCACGTGCAACACCATATTTAAACATTGCATTAATAAATTAATTCAAATTGATGCTCTGTAGTTTGTGTACCACACCTGGATTGCTGACTCTAAAGCAGCCCTGAAAGAAAGAGGCAAAGGGAGGCGTCATTTCTGGAAGCGATACGGCCGCAGACGTAGAAAAGACAAGCAAGAAGGTACGGCAGCCTTTAAAGGGGTCATATGATGTTGCTAAAAAGAACATTATTTTGTGTATTTGGTAATCGCATCATATGACCCCTTTAACATCTGAAAATTATGAAAGCTTGTTTCTGTCACCAATAATAAAAAAAGATAACTGCGACTTTGTATCAGACTTTGTATCTGAGTTTATATCTAAGAATTTCTCAGAATTGCAAGATAAAAAACACAGAATTGCAAGATATAAAAGCAGAATTGTGTGTAAAAAAAAAAAAAAAAAAGTCTGAATTGTGAGAGATACACTCAGAATTGTGAAAACAAAGTCAGAATTGTGAAAAGTTCCTTTTTTAAAATTTTTTTTATTCCATGGCAGGAAAAAAAACAATTGTGAGATAGAAATTTAGAATTCTGAAAAAAGAAGTCAGAATTGTGAGATGTAATCTTGGAATTGTGAGAAAAATGTCTGAATTCTGAATTTATATCTGGCAAATTTTTTGCCAGATATAAACTCGCAATTGCAAGTCAGAATTGTGATATAAAAAGCCTAAACAGGCTTCGATAGAAAATTTAATTGAAGAACTGTTTTTATAATTGTTGGTCTAATGGATAAGCAACTTCTTGTGTGTAGGTCATGTGGCGATAGAGATCGGTGAAGAAGACCGTCAGAGTTCAGAGGAAGACAAAACGGACGGACCAGGTGTGTTCATGGAGCGCATTCATTTCCTGTTCATATCAACTTCAGACAAACCAAACTAACCTTTCCACTTCCTGTAGACAATATTATCAAGAGAGTCTTCAACATCATCAAGTTCACCTGGGTGCTGTTTCTGACCACCGTTGAGAGCATCACCAAGTGGCTGAACTCCGTCTGCAGAGAATACATCGACATCTCCACCGTTCTGCGCATCGAGCGCTGCATGCTGACCAGAGAAGTCAAAAAGGTTCTATATATAATTAAGTCAAATAAAGTAACTTCAACTTTTAAGTTTAATTAACACAAAGTGGAACAAGTTTATGACGATCTAGCTGATGTTGGTCTAGAACTGATCCTGGTCCTTGTTTGTCCTGCAGGGAAACGTGCCATCCCGTGAGAGCATCCATGTGTACTACCAGAAGCAGATGAAACTGAACGGATCTCATGAATCTGGACTGGACCGGATCAGTGAGGAGGACTCCTGCTCAAACAGAGAGCGCCGCAGACGGGCCAGCCACAGTCTGGATTCCTTCGCTTCCAGAGACAGCATGTCCAGGTCTTCATCTTTGACTTGTATTATTATAGGGTGAATCTGACAAAAAGTCTCAAGAAATGTAGAAATTATATTTCTAAATTTCAAAAGAATCAAAATAAAATAATGATTTTTTGCGTTCTGACATAATTTTCATGACATTCATGACAGTTCAAGTTTTTTTCTCAGGAGCAACATCTGAGAACCAGGAGACTTCATTATTTTTGTACTAAATTTTTCTTGTTATCTTTTTCATTGCATTATGCTCCCGCTCATGTCATCTGTCCATCTGTCCATCCATCAGTGCATACACCGAAGCCACCATGCTGTTTTCCCGTCAGTCCACCTTGGACGACTTGGACGACATGCCTCAGAATATTCCCAAAACCAGCGAACGCACTCATCCCAAACTGCGCAAAATGTACGGTTTGGACATGTCCAACTCCTCTGCGGACAGTGGAAGCAGCGTCATGTCCAGGTGCTGAACTCATAATCATCAAATCTTCATCACATTCATCCTCACCCTCCACACTCCCATCATATGAAGGACCAAACCTGCAGAAATTAAAAATAAATAAATAGATAGATAAATAAATAAATGTAATAATGGAAAATAAATAAATAAATAAATGACTTGATAAAAACAAATATCGTTCATTTGCAATAAAATTTAATTAAAATCCTGAATTTATTTTTATTACTTTTTTTCCTTTATGTATTATTTTCTGTATTTATTTTTAACATTTATTTTTATTCTTTTTAACTTTTATTTACTTATTCTTTCATTTATTTTTAATATTTATTTAATTTGTTTTATTAATGTGTTTATTTATTTATTCTTAAATGTATTTATTTATGCGCTTATTTTATTATATTTATTTATTCCCACATTTATTTATTTCCAGATTTATTTATTCATTTATTTCTTGTTACTTTTCCGAGTGCAACATGGAAATGAGGGAGGCGGTCCTTGTGGAACTCCGGTGAATCATTGGTTGAGAGCTCATGCAGAAACTAATGAAATTTATTATTAAAATTAATGCAATTTAATATTGATATTATTAATATCATTATTAGTATTATAAATGTCATCTAGTGGAACTCTAAAGAAAACATTTAACATGATTAATAGTAACAACAACAGCAATAGTAATAATAATAGTGTTATTATTAATATAAAATAATACATGTATTATTTTAATAATAAAGCATATATAATGCATATGTTTTTATTATTGTAGCATAACTAAAATCATTGGTTCTACATATTGGACATTTTGGATGTGTCAGACATCAATCATCCTCTAGAAATTAATAAAATCCTGAAAAAGGATGATATTTCAGTAGTAAATATACAAAAACAAATATATATATAATTGTTATTCAAAGTAAAAATGTCTTAAGATGTTACTCTTATATATGTATGTTATGTTTTACATACATTGATATGTTTACAGTGATTGTAATATCGTTATAATAACAATAGTATTTGTAAAATTGTTATAATAATACATCAACTGTTTCCTGTTTGTGTTGTTTTTGTGGTTTTGTTTCCAGTGAAGTTACTCAGTCCGTTACACTTTTCTCTCGGCAAGGAACCAACGACACTCTAGACGAGGTCGAGGACGAGAGAGAACAGGTGGAGGCAAAAAAGAAGGAAACTGCAGAGACTGTTGAGGACAAACCTGAAGGAGCAGATGATGAGGAAGTGAAAGAGGAAGAAGTGAAACGGGAAGCGATGAATGAGCTGGCAGGGGAAGTGACACAAGAAGTGACGGATGAGCTGGCAGAGGAAGCAATACAGGAAGTGACAGGTGAGCTGGCAGAGGAAGCGATACAGGAAGTTACAGGTGAGCTGGCAGAGGAAGCGATACAGGAAGTGACAGGTGAGCTGGCAGAGGAAGCGATACAGGAAGTGACAGATAAGCTGGCAGAGGAAGGGATACAGGAAGTGACAGATAAGCTGGCAGAGGAAGCAATACAGGAAGTGACAGGTGAGCTGGCAGAGGAAGCGATACAGGAAGTGACAGATAAGCTGGCAGAAGAAGCAATACAGGAAGTGACAGATGAGCTAGCAGAGGAAGTGATACAGGAAGTGACAGATGAGCCGGCGGAGGAAGTGACAGGAGAAGTGGAAGAGGAACTCCAATGGGATTTGGTGGATCCAGAGGAAGCAGTTGAAGATGTTCAGGTTCTTCAGCTGGATTGTGAGGAGCATGGAGAGGAAGAGCAGTGCATTTCTGAAGATGAGGATGGTGAACAGCCAATCCGACGGGACGAAGGTGAATCATCAGGACCGGAGAACATGCAAACGGACGTGATCAGCGGGCAGCTTTTCACCCCGGACACAGACGCCCCCAACACCTCAGACGCTGACGTGCCGCCCAGCTACAGCAAAGCCGTGAGCTTCGACCGTCTGTCTGTGAGCTCGGACGACAGTGACAAACGGCTGATGCTGATGACGCCCGACAGCAGATCCGATCTGGACGACCCTCTGCTGCCCTCCATGACCACCGATCTGACCGCCAGTGAACTGCTGCTCAACAAGTGAGTTAGTCTTGACTACATTACAGCTTCTTCAGAGGGGTCCCAATACTGACATAATATCTTACTACATACCGTTGTTTTACTATTATTTATATACTATTATAGTCTTTATAGAATTTGCTTTTTATTTTTAAATTTTCAGTTTTCTTTTTAGTAAAATTTTAAATAATTTTTTTATGTGTTTTGGTCATTTTTATAATTTTTTTTATTTTTATATATATATATTTCTAAATACTTGTAATACATTTTTATTTAAGCTTTAGTTTTAGTTTTATCTCAGGAATGTTTTTTTTTATGTGCATTTATCTTTTTTTATTAGTTTTTGTTTTTAATTCCAGATTTTCAAATAGTTGTATCTCAGCCAAATATTGTCCTATCATAACAAACCATACATCAATGGAAAGCTTATCTATTCAGCTTTCAGATGATGTATAAATCTCATTTTCGAAAAATTGACCCTTATGACTGGTTTTGTGGTCCAGGGTCACATATTTTAAAATAGTTGCCATTTATTTTTATTTGTGCTTTAGGCTTAGTTTTATTACAGTTGGCAATTTTATCATGTGCTTTTGTTTCAGTTGTTGTTTTTAAAGATATTTCTAAATAGTTTTAATTTATATTTAAGTTTTAGTTTGATCTCAGTGAATAGTTTTGTTATGTGCTATTAAATTTTTTTTTTTGTTTTTAAAATGCCAAAATATTTGTAATTTTTTGTTTTTATTTAAGCTTTAGATCGACTTTTATTTCAGTTAGTAATTTTAGTATTTTAACTTAAATGTATTTCATTTACTTGCCAAGCCAAGTTATATATTTATTTATATTTATTTTTATTAATTTATTTTTAGATTTAGATTGTTTTATTTCAGTTACTCATTTTACTTTACATTTTTAATTTATATATAACTTTAACTCTATATCTGTAATAATATGAAATATTATTTCAGGTTTATTTCATTTAAAAAAATGTTTTTAATAGTTTTAGTTTCAGTTAGTAATAACAACACTGGTAATACTAAAGTATGCAATTTCTCCCCACCAGCAAAACTAGTGCACAATAGAAGTGTGATTTGTTGGTATCTGATTGGCTTCATACGGTCATTTAATGTGATTGTTTTTGCGCTGTTATCCAGAATGTTCTATGATGAGGAGCTGGAGAACTCTGAGCGTTTCTATAAATCGCAGCCGCTCGGGCTCCAGCTGTGTTATGCTCTTTATAACCTGCTGGTGGCGCACTCTGAGATGGTCTGTTACCTGGTCATCATCCTCAACCACATGATCTCAGCGTCCATGGCGACGCTGGTGCTGCCCATCCTCATCTTCCTGTGGGCGATGCTCTCCGTTCCTCGGCCCAGCAAGCGTTTCTGGATGACGGCCATCGTGTACACAGAGGTCAGGGTTTGTTTTTGGTTATATATATATATATATATTTAAATTAATACCAAAGACTTATGCACTCTCTCTTTCTATATTATGAAAACTGGTAAAACAAATTAAAAATATTATAATAGTGAAATTCCTAATAGTAATTCCAAATTGCAATAGCCTATGTTTCTCTATTCAAACAACAGCGGTTGAGTAAGTACATTTATTCAGCGATCACAATCGCAAACAGTCGAGATCTCATGACAGAACACAGACTGGTTGAGTGACACTTTCATTAAGATCGCTAAACTCCAGCTTGTTTGTTGGTGTTTTCAGATCATCGGCTGCGGCGATTCCGCAATGAGAAGCGAGCTTGTGCGCGTGGTTGCCAGATTGCTTAAAATAAGCAAAACACCGGGCAGAAAATGTATCCTTGTAACAGCGAAGCTCTGATTCGGGGATTTGAACTCTTGATATCTGGCAACCGCATTCATGAAAGCTCGCGTAGTAGAGGCGTGTAGAGCAGTCCGCAATAACATATTGTCTCCTTATTTGGACGTTCGGCGCGTTCTTTTGGGAAAGTATGCTTGAATTTGAAATATTCTATATTCACGATATTTTCACATTTTACATTGTCGTCAAAATTATCGCTAATTTTCGATATATCACCCAGCCCTAGTGATTAGCAGTAAATCTCAATCACGTACGTTCAGATGCGACCCTCAGGAGCGGCATTTACTACAAAGAGCCGTAGTTCACTGACAAACTATGCAATATCGCGTTCATTGATGCAATAATTATATATTGATGCGTTCATTACACTGCAGCCCTATTACCAACATTCTTCAAAATCTCATTGGAAGAAATTAAGAAATTGAAGAAATTCATACAAATCCGGAACTGGTAAATGCTGTAGAAATGAATTCTGTAGGCACAGATTCTGTGCAGGCCAAGTTATACACCATCAGGCAATCCGTGATGTAGATGAGCTTGTTGCTTCATCAGAACAGATTTGGAGAAATGTAGCATTCCATCACCAATGAATGGATGCTCTGCAGTGAATGGGTGCCGACAGAATGAGAGTCCAAACAGCTGATAAAAACATCACAATAATCAACACCACTCCAGTCCATCAGTTAATGTCTTGTGAAGCCAAAAGCTGCGTGTTTGTAAGAAACAAATCCATCATTAAGACAATTTTACCTCTATCTATAATATTGCTTTCTCCAGTGAAGGAGTCATCTTGTCTGAATCAGGAGAGACATTTTTGCTTTTCAAGACATTAATTGCTGGACTGGAGTGGTGTGGATTACTTGTGGATTATTGTGATGTTTTTATCAGCTGTTTGGACTCTCATTCTGACGGCACCCATTCACTGCAGAGCATCCATTGCTGAGACAGTGATGCAATGCTACATTTCTCCAAATCTGTTCCCATGAAGAAACAAACTCATTTAGATCTTGGATGGCTTGAGGGTGAGGACATTTACAGCAGATTTTAATTTTGGGTGAACTATTCCTTTAAATGTATGTATAAATAATTCATAAATGTGTTTTTATTTCCTCCAGGTCACCATCGTCGTCAAATACTTCTTCCAGTTCAGCTTTTTCCCATTCAACCAGAACCTGGAATTCAGCAAGGGGAAGCCGTACCATCCGCCCAACATCATCGGCACAGAGAAGAAAGAAGGATACGTGCACTATGACCTGGTTCAGCTGCTGGCGCTGTTTTTCCACCGATCCATACTAAAGGTTCGTACTCTCATTTGCCACATAATAGTGATGCTTGATGTGATAAATCTAGCAGCACTAATAAAGCTTGTCAGTAAAGCAACTTTCAAGTATAATTGTGCTTTTTGTTTAAAATATATATATATATTCTTGCGTCGAGCCCAGCTAATGAAAATATGTTTTAAGAACAGTTTGCTGATGTTCCCATGAAGTTATGAAAACATTATTTCCAAAAGTTCTCTGAATGTTCAAAGCGTCCAGTTGTTTAGATGTTTTAAAAAGCTTTTGTTTTTTTCAGTTATGCCAACATTTAAAGGAACATGCTGTTTGATCATTTTGGGAACGTTACATTTGAATGTTTGAATGTTCTCTGAACATTCCGAAACAAACAGGTAGTAACATTTGAAATACATTCGACGAATGTCCAACTACAACATTTCTGAAAAATCATGTAAATAATGTTTTTGTGCATTTGAGAACATTATTAAAAACCAGATAACTTTGAACAAATGCTCTCTGCTACTTGATGAACGTTGTTCATAACTTTTGAGTAAATGTTCCCTGTTAGCTGTGAATTAGCATATGCAAAAATAAATGCAGAATACATAGAAATTAAAAACCTAAATAAGTATATTTTATTATTATATTATATTTTGCATATTTGTTTGAGCTTTAAGATTTGCACACTAATGGATGTTGCGTTCCAAATTCTTGTTCAGAATAAATAACGGCTGCTTTGCTTGTTTTCTGCTATAGATTTGAGACGATTAGCAGCTCAGAGGAAAGATTAGAGCCAAGATTCAGCTGGAAACATAATTCACCAGACATTAAGAAATCTAAACGAAGCCACTAGACTGTTGAGAGCTTTGAAAACCATAAAATGTATTTTAAAATCAATTCCTAGCATCTGAGGTTTCTCTCCTCTCCAGGTTTCAGATTATTTCAGAAAATCAAACACAAGTAAAAAGCTTCAGCATGACACTGCACTTTTCACCAGGATACCTAGTAAAATCTGCAGAATCGAGACCAATCTGAGACATGGAGAGGAGAAAATGATACATTTTATAATCATACAATTTTGCACTGACTCATCTTTGACAATAAGGAATATTTAGTAATTAACTCTTAAAAGCAAAAGCAAAGGTTTACCTGTTCAAAAATGAGCGTGTGTGGGGAAAAGAATTTAAAAGGACTTTATTTACTTCTACAGTTACTAAATGTTCCTTACTGTGAAAGATTCATCAGTGTACATTATTGTTAAAAAAAGACAAAAAACACAAAAATTTTATAATTAAAAAATAAATAATATATATTATAATACATATATTAAATTATTTGTATATTATATAAAAAAATAGAACATTACAATTGGAACATTTATATATTTCTCCTTTCTAAGTTTCAGATTTTGCACAGTTTTTGTGATATTACTAAGTGTAATGTCATGCTGAAGGTTTTTACTTCTGTATGATTTTATGAAATAATAAACACTGCTTGTAAAGATTTGCGATTTTTAAAATGCAATCCAACAAGCCTTCAGAAAGTGTTGTTTGTTAAATATTATATGAGCATTTTAGATTTATTTAATAAGAGGTTTGCAATTATTTCGCAACCCTGCCGTATCTAGTTTAAAGCCCTGATTTTGTGTGTTATTTATTTTTATTGCTTAATGTAATGGTATATAAATTTTTATCCTGTTTGCAGAAAGTGCCTTTTATTTACTTTGCAACTTTGATTAAACAGGCAATAAATGGGTCTCAAATTAATCAGTTTTCCTTTTACAATCTAGCAATACCTTCAAGTTTGTTCTCCTTCATTAATGCACCTGCTGTCTCTCTCTCTATCGTGGGCTCAGTGTCACGGACTCTGGGATGAAGACGACCCTAAAGCGTCCCATAAGGATGAGTGTCTTAGTCAGGATGAGCCTGTGGATGAGGGGAAGATGGCGGTGGCAATTCCACCCGAGGAAGAGAAGAAGAGTTCTCCAGCATACTCGCTCAAGTCTGTGAATCTTGGCATGTCCGTGGACTCGTCTCAGGTGCACATGCAAATACGTTACCCTGAGCATCGGCCTCACCTGCCGCGGCAGAGCACTAGCGGATCTCACCTGTCCCGCCGCTCATCTGCATGCTCCAAACGCGGTGAGGAGTCGTAACACAAACATCCCAGACCTTTGCTTTTCTTCTCAGATTCGCATGCATAGATAAACTCATGCATCGATTTTACTAGTACTGGCTTCATCTTGATCTAGCATCATCATTGTGGACAACTAGTGAAATTAACCGTTTTTTTTTTTCTTGGCTATTTTGCCGGGTTAGTCTGTGGTTAAGCATTGCTATGGTGACGTTTGGTTGCTGGTTTGTTTCACAGGCAGCACAAGCACACGGAACAGCATTCGCAGGGAAAACAGCACCATAGAGCCAGAAGTTCCGCAGAAGAGCCGGAAAGAAATGATCATGGAGAAGATCCGAGAGCAGCTCATCAAAGCAAAGGTTTATGTGATCAAAAAGTAAGTGTGTTTGGGAAAAGAGATGTTATTGTGAAAGATTAAAAAAAATTATATCATGTTTATATATAAAAAAAATAAATTTAGTTTAAAAATGATCATATTTATAATATTATATCAAAAGAATGAATTTATATTAAATAGGTTTAATATTTCTCCATCTCTGAGGCAACTTTTTTCTTTCTGTGGATGCAATGAGGGCTGTGTGGGTGGAGAAATCATATTAACCAATAATATCAGAGCCCAATTTTAGGGCCCTGTGATTTTCACAGTGTGTAAAACACGGACTGAATCATGGAATCCAGTCATAAAAATTTTAGAATTTCAGATGAAAAAAATCACAAGTAAGACTGTACAACTTAATCAGATCGCAATATGGATTAGTGCCTGTGATTATTAAACTGCAAAATATGAGGTTTGCGTGTTCTGCGTGTATCTACTACACATACTGAAGCATGCATGACACTCGTCTGTCGTCTCAATATATGCATTTCAATATTTCATTTGAGAAAACTCGTCAGGTACACACAAAAACGTAAAGGTCTTCATGACAACCCGTCAAAATAAAAGCTTGATTTAACTTTTATTATTTAATTATGACCAGAATGGCTTACTATTGTACAGTAGAATGTACTTTTCAAATTAATAATAACAATAATAATAATAATGCAGTATATTAAACATTATTTTTAAGGACTCTCACACAATTTTTTGGTCTGTGTTTTAATTTTAAAGAGAAAATCTCTGTTGTGCAGCACTGTTTTCCAAAAAAATTACAGGAATTCTATTTTAAAAGGTTAAATTGTTAAAGTTTTATGCATACGTTTTATTACCATCGTCTTTGATGAACAATTTGCATTAAATCATAAAACACAGAATCCAGAAAAACAGATTTTTAAATAAAAATATTTCTTATGGCACTATTGTTGTTATCATTTTAATAAATTATTAAATTGCTAAAATTGAATGAATTCAATTGATTAGACATGCCTTTTACTTATTTAAATTTAAAGGGTTAGTTCACCCAAAAATGAAAATTAGCCCATAAATTACTCACCCTCAAGTCATCCTAGTTGTATATGACGTTCTTCTTTCAGACGAATCCAGTCGGAGTATATAAAAAATTGTCTTTGATTTTTCAAGCTGTTTCGAATTACTGAAATAAATGAACTTTTCCACGACATTCTAATTTATTGAGCTGCACCTGTACACCTAGGATGACTTGAGGGTGAGTAATTTATGGACTAATTAAAATTTTTGGGTGAACTAACCCTTTAATTAAAGTATTAAAATGGAATCCAGAAAATTTTAAATGGAAAACGTGGAATTTGGGAAAAAAACAATGGATAAATTCAAGTCCCATCCTATGCACGTTTTTCTCTCACTGAACAGATTACAGAAGGGTTATGAATGCCATTTCTGACTGTTTGGGCTGATTGATGTGCATTCTTTCATTCTTTATCCTATGTTTAATATATTTTATTAGTCTGTCTCTTCAGTCTCTGTTTATCTTCTCTCTTCAGATTGGTTGAGTTCTATCAGCCCATCCGTCAGTTCTTCTATAACCTGATTCATCCGGAGTACAACGCCGTGACGGATGTTTACGTCTTGATGTTTCTAGCAGACACCGTTGATTTTATCATTATTGTCTTTGGCTTCTGGGCATTTGGGGTAAATTTGAAAAGTATTTGGAATTATAAAGAGTGTCAAACACATGATGCATGCCAGTAAGGATTCAGATCAGATCTGCTTTTTCTCTTCTTTTTCTCTTTCTGACTCTGAAAATGGACTTTCCATGGCTGTGTGTTGATGTGTGTTTTGTCTGGCTCACAGAAACATCAGGGTGGTGCTGATATCACATCCTCGCTGTCAGAAGACCAAGTTCCCGGGCCGTTCCTCGTCATGGTGCTCATCCAGTTCGGCACGATGGTGGTGGATCGCGCCCTGTACCTCCGCAAGACAGTGATGGGAAAAGTGATTTTCCAGGTCGTCCTGGTGTTCGGCATCCATTTCTGGATGTTTTTCATCCTACCAGGAATCACAGAGAGGTAAAAGAACGCTGGGAATTTCACTTCACAGTTTCAGTTGAGGCGACAAACAGGATGCCGAATTTGAATTAAAATCATTCATTCAGGATTGTTTTGACATTATATTTTATTATATGTTCGTTAATCCTTTATATGTTTAATAGATAAAACTCTGTTAAATTTTGACATCATTTTGCATATTATTAACAAAAATTTTATTTTCATCAACAAAATGCCATTTTAGTGAGAGTCTATGTATGTATAGAAAACAGAATTTCTGAAAATTCTATAAAAAAAAATAAAAAAAACATTTCATTGGGCCATATGAAAAGTTTAATAAAATCATTAAAACCAGAATCCAGAAAAGTGAAAACTGAAAAACATG